CCCAAATGAGATCAGTACTTTCAGAAGCTGATAGGGGTCCTATTAAACAGATTCTGAAATGTTGTATCATTTTGTTGCTTTATTAAGTATTCTACACAAATATAATCAGATGTATTAAATATTTTGTACGTGTATTAAGTACTAATTATTATTTTGCACAGATTTAACAATATGGCCAAAATAAGAACTCAAACTAAAATAGAACATTACCAAGTTGCTGGCAATGTTAGCAACACCTTTGGTTCAAACCCATGGGCCTATTCCAAACTTTGAGTTCATAATAATATATTTTTGTGTTCTTTTCTCTTTTGTCAAGTTGAATTCTGATGATCAGATATTGAATTAATAGTTTAGAGAAATAGTGCTGCTTGAATATTTCTCTTGTATTTAGTCTAGAGTTTTGTTCTCAGAGAAGTTTTCTCGCCAGTCCTCTGACTTGTAGGGTCAAGCACAACCAATTCCAATAGTTGTCCAGTTACTTCTGGAAATTTGGAACCAGTCAGTGAGCAAATCATGATAATTTATTTTCTAATTGAAATTGAAAAAAATATCGTGTTGGTTCTGTAGTGGTGAAGTCTTGGAGATGATTCCAAGATTTATTGGTGGTGTTTCCAAAAGACATTAAAAGCAAAATAAGTAGACATTTTTCATCACTTTAAAAATATGTTTGTAATGGGTGAGAATGTATGGTTTTGATAAACATTTAATAAAGTCGTCATCTTTTGAACAAAAATTTTGGCAAAGAGACTGACATAGAGATAAAATAATGGTGAAATAGCCTCCAACAGTGTTTTACTGAAGCTATAACTGCTTTTAAGTTAGCTGCTAAAATGGTTTCCTAATAATGCTTTATTATTCTGTTTAATTTCAATAATACACATGTAGTAATATTGTTCCTGTTTTGATGAGAGATTAAAAACCCCAGGAAGCGTTTTTTTTTTTTAAACCAACTATGCTTTTGACATATCACATTGAATTACTAAAGTCGCTAGATATATCAATACTGTCAAGTTTATTATGTTGCTAACATAAAATCTTTCCTTTTTTAAAGGAAACCGTAAAGAAAGGCAGAAATAATCAAAATTAGCTTTTTTTATTACATCAGGTCTGTTCGAAGGGATGTAATTAAATTCAAGTATAGGCTTAACTAGTTTCCTGTTTTATTTAAATGACTAGCAGAATTTGTTGTAAGTGATAAAGGAGATGTGAATGTGTTATTGAGTTTTAGTATTTGTCACTTTTTCATCCAGTGATTGAGTTTGGATATTCTGTCTGTAACACACATGACACTGTGTGTTAGGAAGCAGTACTCCTAGCTGTGAGTCTTCCTTGTTGGAAGGTGAGGGCAGAAGGGATGACAGTTTCCTGTTCTTTGCTAACTGCTCTTCCTGCTTACTTCCTGTCCAGCCTCACCTGAAAGTTAGCCCGCTGGAGTTCTTGTGACAGGTGCTTGCATGGAAAAGAGATTCCCATGGGATACCCTTTTGGTGACTTCCCTAGGGTGTTTTGCCCAAGCCATGCTTCTTTGTTAGTAGGGATGATTGGACCATTTGTAGATTGCTTTTGCAAGTTGCTATAAAATAAAGGTGGGGAGTTACAGAAAGAGAGAATGGTGGTGAGTTGAGGGTAAGATAATATGATGTGTATAACTTTAATTCGGCAAATGAACATCCTGATGGGTACATGGACATAAAACAAGTGAAAAGTGAATCCTTAATGTATTTGACCAAGTGTGGCTGCCCAAACCATCCTTGTTACATTTTGACATAGACAATTGGAGTCATTATTGCTGTTCTTGAGTATCATGGGTATCTAAAGGCAGCGCTTGAGCAGTGTCCATAAAACATGGGATGTGATTAGGATGTGCAGGAGCCCTCACAGCAGTGTTTCCGAGCCTCTGCTTGTTGCAGTGGGCTATCCGTGAATGCTTGCTCAAGGATGCGTGACCCACATCACCTATAAATTTGATTGGAAGCTCTGGTGCTGGCATAGGCTGATGGATAGCAGATTACAGCCCTGATTAGCCATGTGATTCAAAGACTGGGAATATATTGTCTAAGCAAGGTTCATCAGATGCAATCAGAATTTCAAGTGGTCAGATGAAATTCAAATGTGTATTGTGGCTTTCCTCCCCTAGTGCTTCTCCTCCTGGTTTCTTTCTTTCTTTTTTTTTTTTTTTCCTTCTTTCCCCAAAGCTGAAAAATACTTCTTTGATGAATCTGCTCCTTACCCTAAAGCTGTCTGTCTGTTATTCATCAGAAAGCAGGTCGCAGTTCAGTGAGCAGAAGAAAAGATTTTAATAGAAGCTGTGCCAAGGGCTGTAATGCATCATTTTAGGGCCCTAATTACATTACAATGACAAATATCAATGGTGACAACAGCAATAACCTACATCCTTTAATGGCTGTGCTGCAAAAAGAGTTTGGGCCCCACGCCATTAGATTAGACTCAGTTTCAAAACATAGGCTATTAGAAGTGTGTGTCCACAGTATTATTGGCTGATCGCTGAAGCTCAGTGGAAAGGCCTGTAAATAAATGGTGCCTCCCTAAAGCTGAGTCCTCTGGGACAAAAGAGGCAAAATTAGATGACCATGGAAGCCGCAGTGTTTCCAAGGCAACTTTAGCTTTCAAAGTGAGGAATGACCTGCTTAATTTTATGAAATCACACACACATCCCACTGTCCTCCCCCCCTCCCGCTGCCAATTAGCCTGCCCAAGAAAATCCATTGGCATGACAACTTAAAGAAATTAAGAAGTCTTTTAAACAAAAGGAGACCTTTGGAAAATAAGTTGGACGCTTGCTTCCTGCCATGTGTGTGAACACATGACTTAGTAAGAGGACTTTTGTCCTTTTCAGGTTCATTTGTGAGAAGCTGTAGAACTTTTTTTCTCAAACAGTTGCTCGGGTCCAAAGAAGCTGAATGCTGTTTGGCCTCGTATTTTTGCGAGAGGACTACATTTCCTTAGAGTAGTTATCATTGCCTAGATTCTGTAGGCAAACTCAAGAACTCCGCTTTCTTCTGTGCCCACGCGTTTCTCAGCCCTCCTAGCAAGGGACTATTTTATTTATGTAAACAACATAATGAGGAAAATATGCTTGGCAGATGGCTGTAAGCATTAGAATCATCAGTTTGGTTTGCCCCAAAGTGTCTCATTATCTTTTATTCTCTCCCCTCCACCTCTCCCTACTGAAAGCTTAACAGCCCAATGCCTTTGAGACACAGTGCTTCCAGCCCGGTGAAGGCTACTTTATTTTCTTAACTCACCCTGGAATTTCACCCCTCAACCACAGTGGTATGTTCCTCCAGGTGGAGAGTGGTTTGGTGCTTCCCACTGCATCTTTTCATGGTGGTTTAAGCATTCTTAAAGGCTGGCTAAATGCTCCATGGGGCCAGTGCGGTAAATTAAATCAGGGCGGCACAGTTGGCTACTTATTCACTGCTGCTTAGTGGTACTGGCTTTTTGTCCATCCTGTTAGGAATGCAGGCTGGAATGGAAAGCTTAGGCTCGAAACTTCATGGTGAATTTGTATTTTCTCTTGGCCAGCATTTAAAAGATTGCTTGACTACCAAGTCAGAAGGGGTACTGATGAAAGAAGGAAGCTTGGATTGCACAAGCTCAGTATTGCTGCCACCCGGGTAATGACTTAGCAAGAAAAAGAGCATTTTTGTCCTCTTAGAAGATGAGGAACTGACCCTGGGTGGGATTTATCTGAAGAATGCCTCAGGGACAGTAATTGCTTTACGTTTTCTGCCTTACAACACTTTCACCTCTTTGTTCTTCCACATCATCATTAGCATCTAAGCTGTCTGGTGTAAAAAATGATGTGCTCCCATTTCACAGAGTATATATATATAAGGCAGTATCTGAACACAAAAGATGAACGGTAGTGCAGGTGTGGGTAGCTTTCTATTTTTTTTTTTTTTTTAAGATTTATTTACTTTAAGGGTTGGGGGAAGGAGAGGGAGAAAAGAGAGAGTTAGCAAGTGAGTGAGCACGCACTGGGCCAGGCCAAAACCAGAGGCTTCATTCGGGTATCTCATGTGGATGCCAGGGACCCCGCTGCTTGTCTCAGGCCGTCAGCATTGCAAGTGAAGGAGCAAGGACGAGAACCAGTGCCCGTATGGGATGCTGCTGTTGCTCGTGGCGGCGTTACCTGCTGTGTTCCTGGGTAGCTTTTTAAAGAAAATAGTGTTGGTGTATCTTGTTGATATTAAACTTAACTATAGGAACAGAATTTTTGTCTGTTCTTGCAAAAATTATTAGAAAACAAACTCCATTATCTGCCGATATTGGGTTTTTGCAGATTTATGTTGAAAAGGTAACATCTCCAAAGGCAGTCACCAGATAGATGAGTCAGTACTAAGTATATCATTACTACACCTGAGCATATGGAGAACCTTAGCAGTACACATCCTTGTGGCTGAAGCACTCGTCCCATGCTTGAGCAAAGTGTAGCTAAGAATCTGACTAATGAATCGGCCCATTTGGTTAGGTTATGTACTGTTCCTTTAAGGAGGTTGGGGACTGAGTATTAAATCTCAGTGCCAAGGTTTTTAAAGCAAAGACCACGCATACATAAATGCACTGACTTGGTATGAATGGAAGGAGTTGAGATGTGGACAAGAACGTGTCTATTATTAGGACTCTTACAGAATTGGGATTTCCTGGAACATAGCATCAGGGTGGGCAAGTGAGCTGGTGAAGACTTTTGAAAATGGAATTCTGGTCGTGAAAATTAACTTTTTTTTTTTGCTGCCCTGATACTTGAAGGTTAACTTTTTAAGATGAATGCTGGTTAACAAGTTGTGCTGTTAATGTGGTACTGTTGTCACTGCCTCTTTTTAATGGGCTTGCTGGTGAAATGAATTTCCTTTAGTTTTAGGAAATATGCCAGCCAGAATATAAAGTGTTTTTTTATAATATCATTCTGTTAATAATTTGGGAATCTGTAATCGGCTGACTGTTGTATTTATGCCTTTCCTTTTCTTTTTTTGCAGGCCGAGATTGTCAAGAGACTGAATGCTATCTGTGCCCAAGTCATTCCTTTCCTGTCCCAAGAGGTAAGGTGGTTGATTTTAGGCTAAGAGTTTTCATTTTTGTTGTTTTACAGAAAAGGGATTGTGGGACCGAATCTCTAGCCTTTTGGTCTCTTTTTTTTTTTTTATTTTTAAGAACTCGGTGATCTTACTCTAATTTTTGTGCCTTATTAGCATGCTGTGTTGTGATACACTCTTAAATGTGTTATATAGTGGTAGAGTTTCCAATGTGTTAAGCAAAATTCAATTTTCAAAATGTTTTTCTGTCATCATACCGTGACATGCTGCTGAGGATTATACCTGCATTTCATAATGGCATTCAGTAGAGCAGCTTGGAAAATGGCTAGGAAGACAAGACTTTGTATTACGTTTTAGTCTCTGGGCCTTTAGAGCTGGCACAGGGACATTTCAAATAGAAAGATTTTACATGGTAAAAAAAAAAAACAAAAAACTGACACTAACTTTTGGCCAGCTGCTTTTAGAAAGTTACTCATTCTTACCTATTAGGTTTAATATTGTGTGTACCTTTGGGAAACAACTTGTAAGATGGCCTCTACATCCCTTTTTCTGAGTGCCATTTTTCTCAGAATTCAGCTTTGGTGACGAGTACCTTTGTCCATGGCCAAAGCCTGCCCTGTGGCTCACTAGCTTCATTGGGTGCACAGCCAGAGAGAAGCGTATGTTGTTAGCCAACTCATAGGTTGGTTGGAATGAAGAGATGCATTTCAGGTACCCGGTGGCTTCCTCTTTATCCCTCCTCTCTCTTTGCTTGTTTGCTTGCCTGCCTTGGTAGTAACTGAGGGTATTGGGAAAGAGATCATTTTTGCTTCTGGATTACTGAACTTTCTACCTGCTCCAGCTGAGACTAGCTGTTAAGCAGGAACAAGCGGAGTATCTGTGCGTCATGTAGCCAGAAAGAGACACTGGGCTGCCCTGTGTTGTCACTGCCCTTCAGGAGAGCAGCGTGACCTCTTGTCTGCCCGTGGGTAGATGCTGCTGTTAACAAGCAGCCAGTATTTCAGCATGTGGGTGTGATGTAGCTATGTGGATGACTGCATGGGACTGCTCTGCTCTGCACTGGCTTGATCGCAGCAAGCAGGGATCGCCTTCAGCTGCTGTCTCGGGAGGAGGCATAGGTCATTCACAGCCCTTGGCAGTGTCCTTTCTGTCCCGCCCAACAAAGGCCTTATTGACTTTCTCTGACTACAGAAGCACCACCTGTAGTATCTGCATCTACCTGCTTTTACTTAGGATTTGCTTATGGTTAGATTAGATGGTGTGGTGAATGAAACACACACAGTATTTCTGTTTCGTTTGGAAAGCCTGGCTGCTCCGTTCTGGTCCAAACCAGTGTATGTTTTCTGCTTTAGGATCTCTGTGCAATGGTGATGGAGAACAGGAGGAATGATACGGCTTTCAGAGCTGTTACCAAGCTGGGATGTCATACCCCCGGGTGGCAGGGGAAAGTTTGAATAATTGTCCCTGGGTCAGTGTTAGAGTTTGGGCCCTTGGAAGTATAGACTGCTGCTTTAATAACCCAGAGAACTTTGTTGCTGTGGAATTTCTGCCGTGTCTATGGGTTAGGGTTCAGAAATGGAAGGAGGTCTTGGGGGGAGGGTGTTGGTAGAGCAGATTTACCAACACATCAGTTTCCCACATGACATGTTGCTTCTGTGCATTGGCCCAGTAGGAACAGGATGTGTAATGATAGTGGTGCTGAGTAAGACTAGACTGGAATTGATGGGCTGAGGAAGTTGTACCCAGTCGCGGAAAACCACGGGGAGATGTGGTCAGCTCCTTTCCTCTGCTCTAGTGGTCTGCTCCTTTCTTCTCTTTATTTCCAAAATACTTTGATATTTCTTGATTAAACTTCTTGATTCATTTACAGTGATTTATGTTATGGTTTCCAAAATCCTAATTCTGTGTTTATCTTTTCTTTTTCTTCTTAGCTTGAATTTGTTTTTTTTTTTTCCTCTTTAGATTCCTAAGATGTGTTTCTGTCTTCAGTGTGTGGGCTGTGTTTTCCTGCTATCCAAACATGAGCTCTCTAATGTTTTCTGTCTGAATGTTTCCCACCTTGTCTCCTCTTTGAGGCCATTCTGGGAGATCAGAGTTCCTGCTTCTTCCCTGAGGCCAGATGGACTGTAATCTGGAGGGAGGGAGGAGGCAGGACATTAGTGGAAGATGAATTCCATTTCCTGTCTCTTCAGAGGCATGGAGAATCACTCTTGCATGGCTGCAAGCATCACTCCGTGCCAGGACTGAAGGCTCTTAATCTGATCCTTTAACACCAGCTCTCGGTGTGACAGTCGCCCTGCCAGAGTGGCAGCTGCAGCACGAGAATTTATCTTAAATGTTTTTATTTAAAAATTAAATGCTTCTATCTAGAGAAAAACAAAATTATTTCCCAGTGACTACAGTGTGTAAGCTACAGGGCAATGTTTGGAGGGATTTTGAAGCAACTCAAGTCGAGCTTTTGGCGTCTAGCACAAACAAGAGGTAAATTTATGTGCATATAGATGAAGTGTATTTTTAATTTAGCCCCCTAATGTGCCAGCTTAATATTGCTTGTATCTCATTTACTATACTTTCTAAGCTTAAAAAAATTATGCACCACCGAATGCTAACTACTAAATAATGTGGTTTTAACTCCACGTCTTAAAATAAGTAGCTCAAGTGCGTGATTAGTGTGTCTGTAGTAAAAAAAAAAAAAAAAAAAAAAAAATCAGCAAAAAATTCCCATTAGATTTTACTAAAACTTTAAAAAATTGTAACACATGCATATTTTCGTGATACGCTCTTGCACTCACATGCCCTCCGGTTCCACTATCTTCAGCAGGAGACAAAGGATGTTGCTGAATTCTTGGAATTTCATAGCATTCCCAATATCAGAATTTCAAGGAAGCTTCCGAGTCCCTGTGTGTGAGGCTGCTCTTTGCTTCCTGCCAGTCTTTAGCTTTTAGGAGTGGATGAGACTGCTGCGTCTTCTCGCGCTTCTGTTTCATCTGCAGGAGGTGAAGCGTAAGGGAGAGAAAAGTTGTGCTGTCTCCTGGTTTTCACTCCTTGCTAGAAGGAAGCGTTGGAGGCAATCAGCTCTGAGTTGGTGGTTCCGTAGTAGGCTGAGATTGAGTCTACAGAGCTTGTGGCTGACTCCAGCTAGGGTCGGCTGATGACCTGCAAAGGAAACTTGCCTCCCCAAGGCCGCAGTTTGCTTGCCCGTACACTGAGGGTAATGGTGGCATGGAGCATGGCTGAGGACTGTGAGGTTATATGGGAGTAGACTTGGACAGCTTAGCATGTAATAAGAGCCTCCTGTGGACTAGTTGTAGTATTACTGCAGTGAAAAAGAACCCTTGAGTTTCTTTTTGTGAGAATCAGTGGATTTTCCTTCCCCTTTGCAATCGTTGCATTTTGGCTGTCTTTCTCTAATTTCCTTCTTATTGAGTTTGTTTTTTTTTTTTAAAGGCATAAATTAAAGTTGGGCCCAGGGCACAGAGCTAGCTGAAAACCTCTGTGTCTCCTTCACCTGGCCCCTTTGGCAATCAAGATACAGCTTGTAGATCCTTTAAAGTCCTCGGGAAAAGTCAAGAATTGTAGCAGATGCTGTCCTGCCTCCCAGTAGTGGCTCTTTGTCCACCTCACACTTCAGGAAGACAACTGTCTTTTCTAAGAAGAGTCTGACATGGACTGAAAATTGTACATCACTCCTGACAGAGGCAGTGTTTCTGCTACTTTGGAATTGAACCTAATTCTGTCTTTTGAGCGGCTTTGCATTGGGAAAGTTGACCCCTCTAAGCCTTGGTGCTCCTGTAGAATGGAGGCACTAATCCCACCTGTATGATGTGTATTACGTAGATTAAAAGGTAAAGCATTTGGCCTAGTCAACGCCATTTTTCCCTCCCTCCTTTCTTGTTGCACTTCTGGGGAATTGAATTCCCTGGTAGGGTGTTTTAGGTCTTAAAACACTGGAAGGGAAAGGACTTATTAAGGAGTTCGAGGTAAGACTTGACAGTAATGGCTGGCAGTGTCTTTGGGAACTTAGCTTGGCCTGGCCACTCTTGCGGCCACTGCTCCATAGAGATTAACTTCCAAAAGAAAGGGATAATTTATATTGTTGGTAAGCTAGTATTTTTCATAACCTTTTAGATGAAGTGTTAAGTGTCAGCTACTTAGCTGAGTGCCGGGTCTGAAGGACAGCTGTGCTTTTTGTACTCCTGTTTCCTGGTGAGGGGGACAGTTTTGAAACAGGCAGGGTACATTTCACTGCAATCAACAAGACGTTCCCAAGATCTTTGAGAAGTTTTAATAGGCTGTAGGTCAGTAGGTGAAAGTTTTATTACATTATAATTGCAAATCTCTCCTCAGGGTCCAGTTGTATTTTTAGAAACTTGTTGCTCCGATAACAAGGAACAGAGTTTGTTGGAAAAACTGTGTTATGCAAGTGGCAATGTGATAAGAGCTGGGGGTCAGGCAGACCCAGGACCGAATCTTCCCTCAGCGCCTTGCTTCCTGCCTTCTGTTGAGCAATATGGCTCAGCTTTTCTGGGCTGCAGCTTCCTCGTCCGCAGAAAGGGAGGCCTGTACTCTAACGATGGTAGATGAGGCGTAAGCAAGGTGTGAAGTGCCTGTCTGGCCATTTAGTTGCTTCAGCAGAAATCTTAGAGCAGTGGTTGAATCGAAGTAAAAGATTCTCTCTCTGTGTCTCATAGCGGTTGGCATAGAAGCAACTAAGGCTAATTTGGTACCAGGGTTTGTGAACTGATGGTCTTTCTGTACTAAGTGTTTATCATTCCTAGCATCATTGGACCTTACACTGGCAGGAAGGGAGTATAGAATGGATATGGTCTTTTCCTTCTAAGTGTGTAATGTGGGAGATGCTCTCATTTTTGCCCTCTTTGCAGTGGCCAGCACCTAGTTACCTGGCCACACCCAGCGACAAGAGTGACCTGGAAATGTAGTCCTGGGTGAGTTCCTGAAAACCAAGTGTAAGAGAAGGGATATGTGTTTTAGAAAGAAAGACACAA